GAAAGTTGCAAATGACGGAGGTGAAGAGAAGGTTCGTGGGACTCAGTGTACAAACTCTGGACTGGAGAAGTGCGAAAAGCACTGGTGCAGAGCCGAAGTCCCAGATGGTGAATGGGGTCCAGCATCTTCAGGGCCGAGGTCCTGGTGGAACCATAGACCAAAGACCCATAGTCCAGTCTGAATCGAATCAAAGCACGATAGATCCTGAGCATAGAACATCGATCTGCTCCCCAAGAGCTGGAAGAGAGGACACAGAGGATATTCAGAGCCCTTGCACACTTGACACGAAGCTGCTTGATGTGTGGAATGAAGCTAAGCTTACGGTCAAATATAAGCCCCAAGAACTTTGCCTCAGGGACCACACGAATGACTATATCGCCGAGACGGAGCTAGGGATCGGAGTGGAGACCCCGTTGATGGAAAAAATGCATGCAAACGGTTTTAGAAAAAGAGAATTTAAAACCATTTGCACTATTCCATGTCAACAACCGATTGAGGGCAGTCTGAAGCTGCCGCTCAATAAACCTCATGTTTGACGACCGGCACGAGATGTGGAAGTCGTCGACATAGAGCCCATTTGCAACAGTCAGAGGAAGATTTGTAGTGATGGCATTAATTTTAACACTAAAAAGTGTACCACTTAAGACACAGCCCTGAGGGACTCCAAGTTCCTGTGGGAAGGAACGGGAAAGAGTGGAACCCACACGGACTTGGAATCGCCTGTTCTGTAAAAAATTGCGGATAGAAATGGATAAATGGCCACGCAACCCATAGGAGAGGAGGTCCTGAAAAATTCTATACCTCCACGTAGTGTCATAAGCCTTCTCAAGATCGAAGAACACAGAAGCAAGGTGTTCTCTCTTGAGAAAGGCTTCCCTGGTCGACGTTTCAAGTCGAGTCAGGTGGTCCATGGTGGATCGCTGTCGACGGAACACACATTGGGTGGGCGAGAGGAGCATGTTTGATTCCAGGAACCAAACAAGACGAGCATTAACCATCCTCTCTAGAACCTTACAAAGACAACTAGTCAAAGTGATGGGACAATAATTAGAAGGAATCTTGGTATACTTCCCAGATTTGGAGAAAGGGAGGACAATAGCCTGGCGCCAAGCATCTGGAAAAATATGTTCCTGCCAAATCTGGTTAAAAATAACCAGAAGAATAACAAGAGAGGCAGGAGAGAGATGGCGCAACATCTCATAATGAACATCATCAGATCCGACCGATGTACTGCCAGATCGATGAAGAGCAAGTTTGAGTTCCACCACTGTAAAGGGGCAATTATAATCATAGAGACGATCGGCCTGAAAAGAAAGAGGCGATCGCTCTGCCCGAGACTTTATGGCCAAGAAGACAGGGGAAGAAACAGAAGTGCTAGATGCACAAGAAAAGCTCTGGCCAAGAGCATCAGCAATGCTCAGGACATCAGCAACTTCCTGGCCATTGGAGAGCAAGATGGAAAGGAGATGGGAAGCATACCTCCCAGTGACCCTCCGAATCTTGTCCCATACAGTTTTGGAACTGGTGGTAGAAGAGATGCTAGTAGTGAACTTTATCCAAGACTCCTTTTGGCTTTGATGTCGAACCTGCTGAGCATGGGCACGGGCCCGTTGATAAACAATGTGGTTAGAAAGAGTGGGATACCGTCAAAAGGTATCCCAGGCCCGTTTTTGAGCCTTCCATGCCTCCTGGCAGGCAGGACTCCACCATGGACGAGGATACCGTGGAAAACGTGTCGAGGTCTTAGGAATAGAATAAACAGCCGCCTGGACAATACAGTCAGTCACTGCCACCACACAATCGTCTATTGATGGTAGACAGATGAAGGCAAGATCAAGTTCAGAGAGAGAGGTGAAAGATGGCCAGTCAGCCTGGCCAAGCTTCCACCGTGGCACTCAGGTCGGTTGGCATCGACCATGGCCAACCTCTCTCAGTATGATGGGAAAACGATCACTTCCCCGAGGATCGCTGTCGACCATCCAAGAAAAACGAGCAAAAAGTGCAG